TATATATAAAAATATTTATGAGATAATATATATATATATTCTTTTAATTTATTAATATATATCTATATAAAGAGGTTCTAAATCTGAATGTTCGAAAAATAAAATATATATTATATAAGAATCCGAAAAATATGGATGTATTTATAAAGGAAATTATAATATAATATAAAGAAAGAAATATATATATATTTGGAAATAAAATTATGTATATAAAGAGGATTTAAATAAGAATATATAGAAGAATATATATATATATGGGAATTTATTGAATATAATTTTATATATAAAACATATTATTATATAATATAATTTTATATATAAAACATATTATTATATAATATAATTATATATAAAAATATATTAAAATATAATTATTTATAAGGAGAAAAAGATATGAGAATTTGTACAATATTATTTTATATATAAGAAAATATATAATATAAGAATTATTTATTTACGAATATATATAGATATAATATTTTAAAGATATATAATTACAAAGATACAAATATATATAAATTCGGATAATATGAATTTATATATAATATATATATAATATAATATATATATATATATTTTTGATTATAAATATGGGAATAAAATGATATTTAATATAAATATTCGCAAGGACGGAATATATACAATATATATATAAATATTTAATATAAAATTATACAAATATTAATATAAATATATGAATTTGCAAACTTATACATATATCTAATTTCGTACAAAATAATATCATATATAAATATATATAAAATATATTATTTATATAAATATTTATAAATATATAAATTTTAAAGAAATTCTAAATAATTATAAAATAAATTTATATATTTAGATATTTTTAATATATATAAATATTTATTATAAATATAATTCTAAATATTTATAAATATTATTAAAACAATTATATATAAATATTTCCAAAAAATAATTATATTATATTATATATATTATTATAAATATAATTATATATAAATAAAATAAAATATAAATATAAATATATTTAAAAAAATATATATAATATAAATTGTATATAAATTAAATTTAATATATGATATTTTATATATTTAAATATAAATTAATATTAAACAAAATATATATCAAATATTTAGATTAAAAAATAATTTTAATATTATATATAGTGTTCAAGCGAGATCCACCTCTTTTTGGGTCAAAGTTGTGCTGAAAACCATCCTGGATAAAATTGACCACATTATTCCAACCCATTGGTGCGCTGTTGACCCGCGGGTAGCTTGCGCTAGAATCTCCATCTCCAAAAGCCCAGCCGGCTGCTTTCCGGTTTAGGCTGAAAAAGCTCCGCCAGGCATATCCGGGCCTGTAAATGTAAAAGCAGTGCAGTGCTTCTGGTCTTCTGCTGCGCAAATGATGATCTCGTTATCGTGTAGGTACAAGTTGCCCCACAGAGGAGCGTACCCCATTCGTTCAGAAGCTCTGATGGGCATTCTCCTCTGAAAATTGTTGCCAGGGATCATGTTTATGATCAAGTGGAGGGTCCTCAACCAGCTGCCATTTTCTTTCAGAACCCACTTTTTGTAAACTCCAAAAGCCCCATTCCTCACAGCT